TTTTTATCAAAATTATATCAGATGTTAAATTATTCATGGATACAAAGAAAAAATTGTAAATTTTTCATAAAATTCCCTAATTAAGAAATCTCCCTCAACTTTTTGTTTCTCTCATCTCATATATTTATTGTATGAAACCAACCAAGTTTAACCTTAATATGTGAATAAATTATGTGCAGGACTTCAAACTGCGATGTTCTGTAAGGATGGTGACTGTTTGAAACCTACCAATTAATATTTCAGCGTTTGGCAGAACACAAACCTCAAACCAACTGATTGGTTAATGTTTATTAACTTGGCAAGGGAGCTCCTTCTGTTACCAAATGGGCATGCTAACGGTAAAGGGCGCCCTCATCATTATTCATAACAACACCTGGAACCCCATGCCATCTAGGGAAAGAACCACAGGACCCACCATCAGATGGGTCCCATGCATATATGCTCATTAGCAATATTTACATTATAAGTTGGAGGCAATCTGACTGTGAATAAGTTCTATACATCAAGATTATTATTATATATGCATGGTTGAAAACGGAATTTAATGGTGGCTCCAGACTCAAGATCCTGCCGGCTCGTGCGCCTTCCAAGTTCTTCCATCCTCCCTCACTCATTATATTAGGAGTAAGGACTTGTTTTTGTTCTGGAACCCTGCAGTTGGTGCGAGCCTCTCTCTCTCTCTCTCTTTCTCCTCGGTTTACATAAGTTCAAAGCACAGCCAGAAACAAGGAAATCTCACACGTAAGTTAATTTCAGAGCGAGGAAATGGAGTTGATAGTTAACATCGCAACGCTTTTTATTGGCCTTTCCATTTTGATAACACCCTCTGCTTCTCTCCAAACTCAGCAGAAGTCAGCTCATCAACAAGGTGAGTAACTCGCTCTCTCTCTCTCTCTCTCTGCTCTCTCTCTGATGCAATTTTATCTACAAGTTGAAACAGCTCATGATATCGGCCTTTCGCTTATTACTAGACTGCCAATCAGGAAGCTGCAATTATTCGAGAAGACCATGGTAAGAAAGCATTCCATATGCATTAATTATTCGTCATTTTTGTAGTGTAACTACAAACTCTTTTCTTGTATTACTACTGCTTCTATACTCCCCCACCCCAAGTTCTCTTTCACTAATCCTTGTATACTTCTCCGGCGTGCAGGTTCAAAGATATGAGGTGGAAGACTGCATTGCTGCAGACTATAAACAAAGTAGAGCCCTTTCAGGTGAGATATTATTATAATTACAAGTTCTTATACTGTTTATATAAAATCAACGACACAGCAGGAAGCCAACATATTTACACTTTGTCTTCAGGCCATACACCCTAATCCCAATTATATTATTCCAAACCATTATAGCTTAGACTAGCTAGCTTGGGAGCTATTATCTGAAGGTCAAAGGATGCATTACCATCATTGTATGCTAACCAAGCTTATGATCAGTTATTAAAAGAAAATTAGCGCTGATCTTAGATTACCCTTTTTAATTAATTTCTTGGGTTAATGCTTTCAACTGGTCGCACCTTAATTTTTTTGGCTTTTAATTTGCTCGTATTCGAAACTTCTATATTCTTCTTATTAATTTTGTTCTTTTTGGTTGGATTTATGTGCATCAAGGTGTAATAAACACTCCAAGCATGCGAGATGGAAGAGAAGGGACAAGACAGAGTTGGGTGGAAAGACCAGACACCTGGCAATATTTTACAATGGACTACGCCAAAGTGAGAAGACGGACGCCCATACATAACAAGGCCGTGTCTGTTACTGTTAGGCCATGAAGAAAGAAGTAGGGTCTTTAATTACTCTCTACTTCTGGTAACACTACCTACTTTTTTACATGAAGATGTTATCTCTATGATAAAGAAAGTGCTTTGTATTTACTCAAGGATGAAGCTAGCTAGTTCAGAGAAATGAAGAGTTGTCATCTTTTTGTTTTTTGAAGCCGTGTTGTGGCCGACATTACTTAGCAAAACAGTACTTGTTGCCACCAAGCTAGGTTGAGAGACAGAGAGAAGAGAGCTCCTTTTTGTGATTTCTAAGCTTTGAAAATTGCAAGTATAAAGGGATATCTCATCTCAAAACCCAAATTTTTCGTCCTCCAGTGTCAGCAAGTTACAAGAATCAAACACAATCAAATTACATAACAACATTACTTAGTAAACAAAACTATGTCTCGTTAAGGGAAAGAAAGGGGGAGGGGTTTGGAGTAAATTAATTTCACACTCACCAACCTCCTCGTACCGTACCTATTTATCTCACCTCATATTAGACTTATTCTGGGTTTGTTTAATGAAACCGAGGGTGGAAGTACAACGGAGAAGATCTTTGGGCTCTTTGGCTCTTGCTTCTTGGAATATATATACTACAATTCCCAAGTTAATTTGACCCGTCGACGGATTTGACTGTACTAATCCTAATCCTATTGAACTCGGAGAGAGCTATCCTTCCACCCGCAATCCGGTTCCCGATGTGGATTCACAAACACAAAGCAAATATGAGCATGTGAATTTTTGAAGTTAGGACATCTACTTTGGGTTTGGGTTTGTGGGATGCGAAATCCATTTCTACACTTCCAGTCTATAACTCATCAACAACCCCATTGTCATCCCGCGTACAGCCCACTGTATTAAAATAAGATCCCACTGCATGTTTGATTTGGACCAAGGATTCTGCATGCATACATACATGGCGAATTGGCAATGGATCAGGATTTGCCTTTGCCTGATTCAACTATAACTTGATGATGATCCTACTCAGTCTTAAATCTAAGCTAACTCAAGTCCTATTTCCGTCCTTTCGTTTATGTGGCTAGGGGCCCGGCTGGGATCAGGGAGCCAAACCAATCTATATCTCAATAACAATTAGTAAACCGTGAAACACATTTCATATTTCTAGACCAACTTATCCCAATTCCCACAGCTTTAAAATTATTTCGATCCTATAAATCATTTGATCTTCGTCAATTAGGAATTTTAGTAGGGTTACTGATTCATTTGCAGCGTGACATTGAGGGATGATCAAATTGTTTCACACCAATGAGGTTCCTTTCGATTTTCGGCAAGTTACTGCTACGCAGGTAAGAGTTTCCTAGGAAAGATTTATCCGGGTAAATGTATTTACCCATAATAATCCAATATTAAAAGAGGCATTTTTGTCCCATTCAAGTGTTGGCAATTCCTTCCCCCTCCCCTAGTGAAAACGTTATTTATCCACCTAGGAGGCTAGAAGCAGGAAAATAAACTTTCCCTGATATTTTGACCAATTTCCCCCTCTTAAAATCCAAAAAAAGAACACACACCCTGAGAGTGACGTGATGAGTGAGGACAAGCTAACCAACCCATTGGCTTCTAGAAGCAAAGGCTGGATTTAGGCATTTAGTCCGATCAATACCAACCCCATGCCCTGATGATATTTGATAAGTTGCATAGGTTTTACAACCCACTCTCTTACTCAAGTAACATGTTTGGCACATCCAGCATGAATCATCTCTTTGGAGGTGGGACTTGAGATACAAAACAAACCAGTTAGATTTTGTGAGAACCCCATGATAGTCCAACTTTGTACTAATCCGGCCTGATATGGCAACAATATATCCTTCAACCTAGGACATGATGGTGTTTGTCTCAACTACATAATGTGGAAGCCAAGTATGGACTTGGTTCCAGAGACTTTTTCTTTTTTTTTTTTTTTGTTCTCTCTTAGAAGCAGTCCCTACATCCGAAAGCATATATCATACATGCATCCTCCATGAGAAATATTAAGGCCAAGGAATGAGGAAACAATTCTATCTAATGCCGGTCTACAAATCCACATCTGGATCACTGCCACGCCCCATGGGCTGATATTTAACTTTAGAGAAAAACGAGAAGTAGGGGCCTCACCCTGGTCGGGCATAGAAAGTAGAAGGCCAAACCTTCGTCAAGAATCAACTATAAAGAAGCTTTGGTTGAGAGCCCGTTTGATACGGCTTCTGCATCGGGGGTGAGTTGTGATGATAGAGCCGTGGTGGTTGAGCACCCATGTTCTAGAGAAGCTACCTAGAGTAGCTTCTTATATTACAGTTGTGTTTCTCATGTTTGGAGCACAGTGCACGCTTTTTGGATTTTTACCAAACATAGCTTCTGGTGTTCCTATGTGAGGCCCGACTATGAACACCAGTAGCCACATCCTGAAAGCCCTCCCAAACAGGCACCGAGTTGTTTTTGTTGAGCTGCTTTGAAGAAACCACTAAAAGAAGCTTCATACAAAAGTCTTTTTTTTAGCTGAAATACAGCCAACTTGGGCTTTTCATGTTTTTTCATCGAACATTACAGACATTGCTTATAGGTTGTCTAAATAGGACCTACCTTACAAAGCCAAAAGCCACTGAATAACCCTCCCAAATAGGCTACTTCTTCGCTTCTAACATTCAAAGAGGGTCTTGTTGGAACGGGTGGCCATAGGCCCTCGATTTGGAATCCTCAACGTGTAGGAGAATCCACTGGCCATGTGAAAAGCCACACGTTGATGGAGTAGCTTAATGATATCATCTCTGTGAACACAATACAACACACACCAATTATAATTTTTGTTATATGTAATTATTTATTTTCTAGTAAAAAAAAAATCTGTTTTCTGTAAAC